TTTTCAAAATTAGACAAATGCAACCTTACTATTGTCAGCAACGTCGCCGTACTCATAAAAAATAGTTTGATCTACTACATAAAAACACACACACACAAATATATATATATATATATATATATATATATATATATATATATATATATATATATACAAATACACGCGCACACATACGCCAGAACGCGTTTACACTCATTCTAAAGAGAGAAGGATAAACGGAAAATGTTTTCTTTCAATAGATTAACAAATCAGTCTATTAGACAAACCATGGCATATGCCCTTAGTTAAGCTCCCTTTAAGGAAGCCTTCTAATAAATAAATAAAAAAAAACAAGTACAGCAACAACCACAATAATAATAATAATAATAATAATTGAAACAAATACAAACAGCAAACTTCAGAGTGTGTAACGGAACCTTCCCAATCTTTAAAACAATGGGTAGGTGCTGTCTGGAGAAGGGATCGCCGGTATCTATTTATTTATGGTTTTTATCTTTGTTATTTTTGGGTTTCAGTGCCAAAAAGCTCATTTGGTGAGATACTTACACGGGAACAAATGTCGGTTGACATATGTTAAATGTAATTTGTTTTTAGAAAGAAAGAAAGAAAGAAAGAAAGAAAGAAAGAAAGAAAGAAAAGAAAGAAAGAAAAAGAAAGAAAAGGACAAGAAGTAAAGAAGGGAAAAAAATGAAAAGCAGATAGGAAAAAAGGAACAAAAGGAAAGAAAAGAAGAAAAGGAAAGAAAAGAAGAAAAAAGAGACAAGAAGATGATGAAAAGGTAAAAGAAAAGAACACGGAAGGGAAAAGACAAGAAGAATAAGGAAAAGAAGGAAAAGCGGAAGAAAAAAGAAAAGAAGAATAAGAAAAAAGAAAAGAAGGAGAGAAAAGAAGAGAAGGAAAAAGAAAAGAATGAAAATAGTAGATAAAGGAAGAGGCGAAGAAAAATGAAAAGAATGCAAGAAAGAAAGAGAAAATAAAAGAAGCAAAGGAAGATAAAAATAAAAAAAGTAGGAAAAGAAAATGAAGAAGAAAAAGGAAAGAAAGAAAAGAAAAATGAATAAAGAGCAGGAAAAAAGAAGAAAAGAAAAAGAAGGGATAGAAAAAGAGAGGAAGAACAATGATAATAATAACACTAGCAGCATCATAAAATTTAGCGAATGTTGATTTTTAGCACATATTCTGAAAAAAAAAATGTTAACAGAAGACAGATAGATAAAGAGAGAAAGAAAGAGAGAAAGAAAGATAAAGAAAGATATAGAGGTTAGCGTGAGTATTGTTTTAAACCGGTAATTCAATTATCTTTAAAAAAAAAAACAAAAAAAAAAACGTTTGTTTGGAAGATGAAGATTAAACATTGTTTCCAAGGGCACATGGAAACCACATGAAAACAACATAGTAAATGTTACATATAAAAATAAGATACATAGTTTCTTTAAACCGGGCACACATACATACGCACACACACGTGGTTCGGTTTTTATTCTATCGACTGATGTATATGCACCACAATTTCTGAGATTGTTGATTGATTTGTTTGTTTAACGGCATATCAACATTTTATGGGTCATTTAATACAGAAATTTAATTTGAGAGCATTAAAGTAATAAAAACGTGTTATTCTGCTTTCACAGTTGAATACATGGTAGATGATACTCAGCTTTTGAGTATATACATGTTTGTGTGGATATGATTACTAGAGGCGGCGATGTGCATGTGTTGTAGTTTTGTTGAAGTTATACTTTGGAATACAGTTTGATTTAAGAAATTTTAGGATATTATATGAATTAATGTTTCATGTTGGCAGGTTGGTTGGTTTTGTTCAGCGGTATATCAACCTCTATGAATTATTTAATACCGAAATCTAAATATTTTGTACTTAATTTTATGCTTGTAATTAATTTTATACTTTCAACTACAGATATTTTTTGCATAATTTTATGATTTCAGAGTAAAGACATGTTTATATATATATATATATATATATATATATATATATACTTTGTAGATCATAAAATGTATTGCTGGTAATTTTACTATAAAAATATTTTTATAGTTTTTTAGTGTTGCATTGATTGTCATTTTTCTATAAAAAAAATTATAAAAATGAACTGTTGATTTTTGTTTGGGAGTTCACTATTTTCCCATAGATGGGACCCTGACAGGTGCTACCACTCCGAGTCAGAATTGACCTAGGAACAACACCAATTAACAGGTGGTTCCACGCTCCTCGAAAATGCAATCTCTCGATCAGAGGCCTAGCTGCCGAATGTAGTTTATCGTTATACCCAGGAAGATTCTGAGATTAACTTTTCTTACTGTTCAATAATGTAGTCAGTCTAATATCAGTATACTTCTGATTTACTATAGCAGCTGTTACGACCCCCGAAAAACTGATGCCTAGTCCGACGCCCCCTTCTTGGCTGCACTTCTCCGTTGCACAAGGAGGAATCGGGTTAGGGATGTTTTCTGATGCCTGCACCAGAACCAAGATAAGGCCAAGGGAATTTGACAATTATGTTTCTACTCCATGGTACACTTGTGGAAGCTCTCATTAAATCTGACCTTATGTCATATTCTGCCCTGATGAGGAGGCAAATGAATCCATATGCATTATTTTGTCATTACATCATGACCGACAAACACACAACCCTTTCTCTGGGGTCTCTATTTTCATATGCCATGCTAAAGGTTTGGTTCTATCTTATGAATTGTATGGGCAGTATCAATAGATAAACTCTACTTAGTTTTTTCTTTAACTAAACGTTCACCCAATATAAAGCCCAGGAACCACTCAAGATAGAGGATTACTGTCGTAATGGAATGTCCTGTTCTCCCTATCGCCTATTGTGGACTGACTATATCAATAGATATATATAGTGTGCACAGGATATACCTAGCGGGCTTGCTTCGGGAATTGACTAGCCGAAATCTTTTTCGACTTGCTGGTCGAATTCTCTGCCTCTGAGCAGAGAGGAACCCGGACGAGGCTCTGCCGAAAGGCAGAATCTCGTTCGGAGGAGATTGACCAACCCGATCCTGTTTATGCGGATTCTACGGGCATTTTTTGGCCGAGCCTACGGACTCGGAAAACCCACGTTAAACCTGGCCTTGTGCCACATGCATCCCTTGTGGGGTGGCTAAATATACTAGCTGGAATCTGTTCCAGTTGTGCTGGTCAAACTCTCTGCCTGGAGGCAGAGAGAATCCCCAGACGAGTCTATGTTGAAGGTCAGAGTCTCGTCTCGGGAAACAACTACCCGACCCCGTTTTTTACAGAGTCTACGGGGAAATTTTGGCTGAGCCTAAGGGCTCAGATTGCCCTACATTAAATTCGGCCTTATGCTACATCCTACCTCGTGGGGAAGCTGGTAAATATCGACTAGCTTCGGGAATTACTAGCTTGCTAACCGATTTCCTATCTTTCAGTAGTGTATTCTCTTTACAATAAACCTCTCTTTTATCTACTCCCGTTTTGCTGTTCCTTTCACTCGAGTAACACCTTTGTCTGTTTGTAACCTTCTTTAAGGATACAACAACTGACTCTATCAATAGCTATATATAATGAGCACAAGATATACCCGTGGGCTTGCTTCAGGAATTACTAACCTGACACCTGATTCCCTGTCTTTCAGCAGTGTATTCTTTTTTACCATAAACCTATCTTCTTTCATCTACGCGCGTGCTGCTGTTCCTTCAATCGAGTACCACCTTTGTATGTTTGTAACCTCTTTAAGGATACAACAGTTACTGACTAAGGTTGTTCTATGAACGTAGAAGGAGAAAGTAAGTGCAGATCATGAGGATATGTAGGATAGATAGCATTTGACCCTAGACTTGAAAAGGTTAATATTGTTATAATCAGGGAAGCATCCAATCGAGAATCTGCTTCACAATTTAACAGGTCTGTGGAAGAAGCAGCCTGAGTTGAACTTCATCTTTACTAATGGAATAAAAAGGGAATGAGGATAAGTCGACTGAGATGTCCTAACTGTAAAGGTCTAGAATGGTGGGACTAATATATTTCATCGAAACCTTTGCCATGGAAATAGCGATAGAGTAGCGACAAGTTGATGATATTTCGTTAGTGGCAAAACAGGTTGAAAAATAATTAATCGCCTACGAAGCTGTGTAAACGCACTTGAACTCGCTAAAAACATGAAAAGTGAGGATTTAACAGCCCCAGCTGAAACATAGTAGCAATACTCCAATTTTGGTATGATCTGACTTTTGTAAAGACAGAGTCTTGCAAGAGATATCAGATACTTTATGGATCGGCACGAGGAACCAACTATTTTCCACCATCTTTAGCTATGGATCCTATAAACTAGTTCTCCTTGAGATCTGGAGTGAACTTGAAACTTAATAGGCATTGAATGCCAGGAGCTTCATTGAGAGTACAACAGTTCATCATGACTAGAGAAACTTCAGATTCTTCTCCGTGGTAATGTAACGTTAATAGTCTGGTTTTGGATGTATTGAATGTTACAAGACAGTTTTTACCCATTTAGCTGTTAGAGTTAGATCAGAGGAGAGATCAGCTGCTATGCTCTAGTCATCTAAGGTTTTGAAAAGTGCAACCACAAATCATGGTATTACATGTGATGCACAGAACGTACAAATCATAAGTTATTTACACTATGCTCTGTGCATCCTATGTGATGCACATGATTTTATTATGTGAAACACTGTATAACAACACATACTATTTGCCAAATAAGCTGAGTTTCCTTGCAATAGTTACAAATCTGAAAACCGGCAACAGTGTGCAGAAAAAAAAACTAATTTTAGTTTTATTATTAGTCAAAGTTAAGTGTGACAAGTAGCAACAGTATCATCAGCAGGCAGATTAGGTTTAAGGCTCCAAGTTCTTCTCTCAGGATTGTCCTACGGGTCAATAGCCTAATGGGTTAAAGCGTTAGTCTTAACTGTAAGTTCAATTTACAGGCAGTTGCATTCAGAAGCTAATAGAGAAATTCTAAACATGAATTCTAAACATTTTTATGGTAAAAGAACTCGAGAAAAAGATAAATGATAATGATCTAAGTCCTGATGATATCTCATCCCCTGATGAAAGTGAAGATGAATATAGGCCGGGTGATGACGATGAATCGTCAGATGATTGTGAGACATCAGAATCCTGTTCAGATTTTAGTGATACAGCCAGTAAGACAATATCAACCAATGGTACAACCTGACTGGAAATATGCACCACATATGATGCAAAGACGTGGAAATCACATATGATGCACAGAACAGGTAAAGGGTTGAGATAAAGCCGAAATAGGGGAAGACCTTGGGGAAGCCTACAAAGATATCATGGGCTTCAAAATACTGGTCATTAACAACGGTTTTCATGGACGTACCCGATAGCAAGACTTTGATAATTGCGAATGCTCTACTAGAGAAGCCATAGCTGGAAAGATTATGAAGTAACCCCTATGCTAAACATTGTCAATGGCATTTGAGATGTATAAGGCGATTAACCCGAGATGAGTTTATTAACGAGTGTTTCGCTGATTCAGCGTATAATGACAGTTAGGATATCAGCAGTGGACTTAGAGATGTGAAATCCATACTACTTGTCGCTCAAGAGTTTGTGCTTGTTGAGGTGTTCAGTAAGCCTCTTGTTGATAATAGACTCGACAAGAGAAGGATTAAAATCGGTGGCTCGACGATCCAAGAATCCACTATGCATGTACTGGTATCTACATCCCAGCGATGAGACTTACAGATTATGTGGGGAAAATAGGAAAGAAGTCGCGGTCATGATACTGACGACTGTGTTCTAGCTGTCAAAAAGGCTTTACGGAGAATTTAGATAGATAGAAACTATTACAGCTATATACGGCAGCATTAAGACGAATTCCATCAAAGTGAATATAGGGAATTCACTCCAAAATAGCGAATACTGTCTTTAAGGCAAAAAATGATGAGACAGTAAACTACAGTATAAATTAATCAAAGACATCTGAAAGAATCAGAGGCTGCTAGCCTATGGTGACCTTTTTAGTAAGCCTAGCATGGAAATAAATACAATATGGGAGTCGTTAAATAAAAAAAAAAGGCAGCAAAGATTCAGCAGCATCAGCAATAGGAAAGAGAAGCCTCTGTGAATGCAGTTAAGTGTGACAAGTAGCAACAGTATCATCAGCAGGCAGATTAGGTTTAAGGCTCCAAGTTCTTCTCTCAGGATTGTCCTACGGGTCAATAGCCTAATAGGTTAAAGCGTTGGTCTTAACTGTAAGTTCAATTTACAGGCAGTACGTACTTGGACGCAGTTGAAAACAGGATGAGCAATAACCGAATAGTACTAAATAATCCCGAGACATAGCCAGTGGAACGAGAACAGTCTATTCCCATAGATTAACTAAAGGTTTCTGTTCGGAATTCCCTGAAGGTTCCCGGGTCTACAAGAATCTGATGAAGACCAGGGGTGGGGGATGTTGATGATAATAATAACAAAGATGAGGACAATAGTCAGTTTATAAATAATAGTGATAAATTCTATCACAGAAATGAATCCAAAAATTAATGGGGTAAAATTGACACAAAACGAATGTAGGAAAGTAGAAAGAGGAATTTGCTTTGATCATGTAATAAAAAAAGAAATTAAAGACACTTATATTAGCAAAAATTAAAACTGTCTTAAAAACTAAACAGAATAAAATATTTTGGGATTTTGACATCCAAGCGAATTCATATTCAAGCGATAAAGAGTGGAGTTGATAATCCTAAATAAGAAAAGAGAGTGAAAGGGAGAAAGAGAGAGAGAGAGAGAGACAGACAGACAGACAGACAGACAGACTCAAAGATAAAAAAAAGATTGAGAAAGTAACTGCATTAGTGGACACGACGAAGACGAAAGAAAGTGAAAAATGCATTTAAAATAGCAGAATTTTATTTCATCAATTAGAGAATCGAAATAGAGTTGAGGCTGAGTTTGTCAGGATACCGAGGATATTTGAAGAGACTTGTCACACACTCTTCTATGATGACCACCAAACATTTTATGCGAAGATACAAAAGCATGGCATAATTTGGAAATATCAAAAGTATTTTCGCTTTCTTGCAGACCTTTAGCCCTAATCTTATTCCATGCATACATCTGTAGACTATGATACTGCCATATTTGTTTCAAAGATTTATAATGATGGAGACGTTATTTGAAACCATATCTCAAAGCCACTGAACCTGTTCGCAAAAATTCGGAAAGTGGAAAGAAATGCAATAATATATGACTTCAATGGCCAAAAATGGTTTAAATGTTTTAAGGATGATGTCTTGACCCTTGGAATAATGACCAGAATGGGACAAAGTTGTCAATTATGATGCTTTAAAATGCAAAGTAGCATAGAACCCTAGGATCAACATCCGAAAGCATTTAGAAGGTCTCGGATAATTCAAAGATATAATTTGTAGAGTATTACGTAAGCTTCCTAAAACCATAAATATGTAATATATGTGTAAAACACAGAAGCGTCCTGGGTATGACGATAAACTACATCCGAAAACAAGGCCTCTGATCAGGAGGTTTTGAGGAGCGTGGAACCACCTCTTAATTGCTGGTGTTCCCAGGTCCACCCTGACTTAGGGTTGTAGTACCTGTTAGGGTCCCAGCTATAGTTAACTCTTAAACTGGGGTCAAAACGTTTTAAAATAGGTTTTAATACCAACAAAACATTTTTGTAAAAATTATTATCAGCAAAACATTTTTGAAGAAACATCAGCAGTAGAAATTTTGCCGGTATTAAAATAACCCATTAAAGTTGATATGCCATAAAACAAAACAAACCAAAACACGCAAGCACGCATTCTCTCTCTCTCTCTCTCTCTCTCTCTCTCTCTCTCTCTCTCTCTCTCACGCACACACACACACACAAAACAAACAAACAAAAAATAAATTTTGATAACTTTTTATAATAATAATAATAATTTGTAGGTCACTTGCCTGACCTTAACAAGTTAAGTATCATGGCTTGATGTCAAAAGTTTTCTTTCTAAGTTTGAAGCAGCTAAGGCAATTTGGAAATCAGATCTAGATACTTATGATGGGAACATCTTAAACCAGAGGTATTCTGAGCGGACTGGGTTACTCAATCTGAAGGTATTCCTAACTCGGCCTCACCTGCATGGCTATATGATGTTTTTATCAAAATCTGTCACCGTATCGCGATGATGCAAGTGCATGGTATCCTCTTATCAGACTCGGTGTCATGATGGGTGCATTAGGTTTCATATATTTGCACAACAGCCTCACATTTGGGATGTACTGCTACCAGTCAATAATAATAATAATTTAATGCCATATTCCTTGCGGACGTAGACGATCATGGCTCCTCTCCATAGATTTCTTTTTTATTAGATCGAAAACAGCTTAGAGTTTTTAAAATGAGATTTAAAGAGAGGGAGATAAGGAGAGAGAGAGAGAGGAGAGAGAGAGAAAGGGAGATAGATAGAGAGAAACAGATGGAGAGAACGATGTGGAGGTAGGAGACTTTCTTAATAAACATTTAAAATATTGGATTTTCCAAAACATTATGCCATAGGTATAGATAAAGGATTGAACCTGTACAAACTATGTAGAATTCAATAGTATGAAGTAATTTAAAGTGACTATTTTTATTGTTTTTGATGCCACGTCTCCTCAGGCCATAGGGGATTATGCTTCTACATAGCTTTTCTTTAATATTTGGTTTGGTTTGGTTTATTTTACGGCATATCAACCTCAATGGGTTATTTAATGCCGACAAGATTTTTATTGCTGGTAATATTTTTTTCAAAAATGTATTGCTGGTAATATTTTTTTTCTTCAAAAATGTATTGCTGGTAATATTTTTTTTCGAAAGTGTATTGCTGGTAATAATGTACCGCTGGTAATAATTTTTTCTTCAAAAACATATTTCTGGTAATAATTTTTCACAAAAATGTATTGCTGGTATCAAAACCTATTTTTACACTTTCATGGTGTTTTGGCCCCAGTTTGAGGGTTAACTATTTGTCCATAGCTGCGATCCCAACAGGTGCTACCACCCGGGTCAGGGTGGACTTGGGAACGCCAGCAATCAAGAGGTGGTTAGCTCCTCAAAACCGCCCGATCAGAGGCCCAGCAGTTGGATCTAGTACATCGTCTTAACCAGGACGCCTCATTTGGTGGTAGTGGTGGTGGTGGTGGGGGGGCTTACTCCTCTGCAGAAGTGCAGTCGGCGTATACTGAAGTCCCAGCCGACAGGGACCTTTATTATTTGGGAATGCATTCTTAGGAAAGATAGTGGAGTGGCTCCCGTTGCCTTTCTCTTGGTTTTAAAATTCAGAATTTTCCTTCTCTTAGACTAATTACTACCTAAGGCTAGAAATCCCAATCTACCCTGCTATTAACCCAGAAGAGAGATGGGTTCATGCCTTTCCTAAGGGCATTTGTGCGAAAGTGAACGCAGTTGACTGGGCAAGAATGTGAACGCTGTTCGCCAAGTTTATCAGTTTCTACGCCTTTAACGGATGCACTGCACAGTACCATAATAATAATAATAATAATAATAATAAAGCGCCAGTGAAAATAATGACAGTAATCTTCAATTTCTTTATCTCCTATACTAAATTTGTAATGACTGATCTATATACCGAGGTATTTGAAGTATTTAGTGTAATTCCATATCCTGAATTTTTATGATTATTTCCTAGTATGTGGCATCAATGCTTTCATTCCAGATTATAAGTTCTGTTTTGGAAAGGTTTATCTTCAGTTTTATTTTTTGGAACACTTGGTAGAGGATGTTATTTAAGATCATTCTTAACTATAAATAACTATGTCAGCGGCATATCCTCCCCTATCACCAATAAATTGGCCTCAGCGAGGAAAGCAGGATGGTAATGGTAATATTAGCCGTTCCCTTATAAGGAAACATTCAGCATTCATTGACCGAGCAGCCAGTGCTACTTTCAGATAAAATTAATAGAATCTTTCAGTTATGACATTTTTCAGGAAAACAGGATTCATAAATCCAGTTATTGCTATTTCCAGTATTGATTGGGGTGGGGGGAAGGGTTCTTTCCTAACATTTTGTTTGGGGTAGTGCGGATTGTCAGCATTTTGATTAGGCAATTATTTTCTCTTCAACTTATGTGCTATCCATTTTAGTTGTTGCTGTTGTTGAAAGTCCTCACGTGATGCGGTTTTTGTTATTTGGTACAGTCCTTTGTCTGGGATTATGTAGCGCCAGTCAACGAGGTTCGAAAAAGGATACAGGACGAAGTAAGAGTGAGGTTGGAGGAAAAGTGGATGACAAAAATGGCAGGTTATAGCCAGCAGGGTGCGTGGACCAGGTGGGATGGTGTAGATCGGCGAAAAGTGTCGTGGTCAGATCTTTGGAATGCCGGCTTCAGCCGATCGAGATTCCTGGTTCAGATGGTATATGACGTATTACCAAGCGCGACCAACCAACACCTATGGGGGAAAATAGATTCACCAAAAGTGCCCCTTGTGCTCGGGGAGGGAATCACTGCAACAAATATTGAGCGGGTGCAGAACTGCACTGACAGACGAGCGCTATCGGTGGCGTCGTGACAAGGTTTTAGAGGCGACAACGCTTATTATTGCTGAAGCTTTGCAGAGCAATAAACTCATTCCAGAAAGAAGAGCTATCCGCTTCGTTAAAGCAGGTGCAAAGCCGTGTAAGAAGGTTGCAGGATCCCATTCATTGTTATCGTCCGCGTCGGATTGGCAGATTCGAGTCGATCTCAGGAAACAAATGAAATTCCCAACACATATATCGTCCTCCAAACTCCGTCCAGACATAATCGTTTACTCGGACGCCACAAAACAGATTATTTTGCTGGAGTAAACTGTCCCATGGGAGGAGCATATGCAAGAGGCATTTGAGAGAAAGTACAGTAAATATCAAGGACTCTTAGACGAGTGCAGAACTAAAGGATGGCGTACTCATTGTTTCCCGGTCGAGATCGGATGTAGGGGGTTCGTTGGACAGTCAATGATACGAGCCCTTACTAGCCTAGGGACAACTGGACAAAAAAGAAGGCGGGCGGTTCAAATGTTAACAACAAAATTGTACATCAACAAATACAATTCAGACGCTAAATGTCACAACAAGGAAAAAATAGTCAAAAATGTTTTTATAATTAAAAATGCCGAAAAAAAATTGAATCCATAATTTAGCACACTCTGGTACAAGATCATGATTGTGCAACGTTCAATGAAGTTTGAACTTACTAATAGGTGTTCCTCAAGACTATCCTGGGCCCTAAACTGTTTCTGATCTCCATTAACGATCTTCCCGATGTCATCAGTTCCCAAGTAGGCACCTATGAAGATCACACTACTCTTTACTGCTGCCTCAACAGTAAATCTGGCATCGCTGACTAACCTGACCGTTGGTCTCGAAAAGGACCTCCAATCTGTTGTTGACCGGGGCAAGAAATGGCTGGTTGATTTCAATACCTCAATAACAAAACAGCTCTCTACACAGAACCCTCCCTGCCTCCCATTAGAATGTCTGATGCTCAACTCCACGAGAACATCTCTTTGCGACTGCTTGGTCTCACACTGTCCGCTGACCTGAGATGGAACAAATACATTGAATCAATAGCTTCATCTACCGCAAGGAAAGTTGGTTTTCTGTGTCGCGCCAGAAAGTTTTTCTCTCCCGAGTCCAGCCTTCAAATCTATAAATCAACCATTCACCCTTGCATGGAATACTGCTGCCATATATGGTCTGTTCGTCTTAAGGTCCTCGACAAAATCCAGGGACGGTTATGCAATGTCATTGGCCTTGATCTGGCATCTCGTTTACAGTCGTTCTCTCACAGACGTGCCGTCGCTTCCCTTTGTCTTTTCTACAAATACTTTCATGGTAACTTTTCCAAAACTGCATGAATCTAAACGTGCTACTAGGTTGGCATCTCAGTCCCACCCTTTCACTGTTGGAACGGTTAAATGTAGTCGTCTCTTCTACTCCAATAGCTTCATGTCTCGCACTTCCTGTCTGGGGAACTCCCTTCCTCTTACTTGCTTCATCCTTTTCTCTATCACTCCTCTTTACTGTTGTTCCCATTCTCTGTGACGCCTTGCGTGCTAGTGGCACACTCGACTTGCCTGGGGTGAAATGCTTAAAAAAAAAATCTAAAAATAGATTTGGTTAAAAACTTCGCTAGAAACAAGAGTACTAAATTGTTACGTGATATCTATCCACCTGTATGGCAGTGAGTGCTGGGCAATTTCCTCAAAGATGAAGAAGAGACTTGAGGCAACAGAAATGTGGGTCTACAGAAGGATGCTGAGGATACTATAGACAGAACATGTGAGCAACGACGAAGTTTTAGAGAAAATGAAAACAAAAAGGAAACTTATATTCGCATTTACTCTTATTCCTTCTTTCTATTACAAAATACAGAGGAATTAAAGTAAATTTCCTTTTTTAGCCCAAGTCTAACATACTATTGAACCCACAGATGAAGGGGAGAAGAAATAGATATATGTCTGTGTGCAGGTTAGGCTCACCAATTGCACTTTCAACACTGATAACAGTCGCACTACCTGTCTTCACTAAACAAGTACCCTTCCTTTCCCTTTCTATTCTCTCTCTCTCTCTCTCTCTCTCTCTCTCTCTCTCTCTCTCTCTTCGGCTTCATTATTCTGTCCTCGTCTTTATATTGCCCTTCTTTTTACTCTTTTTTTCCTTCCCCCTACCATTTTCATTTCTCTTTCGTCTGCTTTTCTTTTTCTACTTCCTTTATAAATTGTCCCCCACCGGCATGGATTCCCTTTCTCTTCTTTCAGGTTCCTTTTATTTATTTATTTACATTATTCGGATTGTTATCCTCATCTTCATTGCCATATTCACAACGTTCGACCGTTGTATGCTCCGGCCTTCTTCAGGTGATTGGAATTTCGAACCGATCCCTTTATTCCGTCCATCGGGTTAGATTATTCTAGTTCCTCGTGCCTCTTCTGGATATCTTATTTATTTCCATTTAACTCAACCCAGTGCTGTAGCCTAGCATTGGACTAACAAATCTTTGGGTCAAGTCACTGGATCTAACCGATGTCTTTATCCACTGGGCCATGTCTCCTTGAGGACGTTGTGAATATGGCAATGAAGACGAGCATAACAGTCTGAAGAATTTAAATGTAAATAATCATAATACCTCATTACAGAGATATGAACAGATATTCCTTTTATTTGTGTATTATTTTCATCTGCACCCTTTTTCTTTCTCTCCCCTTCTTCCGTTTTTAATTTCTCTTCTTTCTGCTTTTTTGTTCTACCTCTCTTTTTGTACTTCCCTCTTTCTTTCTCTTTCAGTCTTTCTTTCCCTTCTATATTTCCTTCTCCTTTCCCTTTTTTCCCCTGTCCACTTTATTTGCCTCCTTTTCTCTTCAATATTTCTCCCTTCCGCTATCTTTCTGCTTTATTTTTCCTTCTTTTCCTCTTTTTTTTTTCTTTTCCTTTTCTTACTACTTCCAATTTTATTTCTCTCTTTTTTTTTCCTTTTCCATTCTTGTCCCTGTTTAGTTGTCTTTTTCCTCTTTCCTTTCTCTTTCTTTTCTTTCTGTTTCCTTTCTTTTGGTCATCATTTTTTTTTTCTTTTTCTTTCCCCCTCCATTATCTTAAACGCTCATAAGTAAAAGAATGTGTATTAGAATTAGTAGAATTAACTCATCACAACAAAGGCACATTCGGTGGCTAAAATTGTTGATTATATACAGGGTTGGTGGACTCCCCCGAATATATGATACAGCCCCAATCTATGATACTGGGCCTCGCTATAATTTTCATAAGGTAGTATTCATATAAAATACAAATTTTATATTCTAACCTAACTATGTACAATAATGGATCATATGCAATATCCTATATCCAATTCAATATATGAACAATTCAATTAGAGATAAATTGAAAATAAATAGAGACATGTCACAATAGAACATTCCATCTTAAATAAATCAACAATGTTTGCGGCAATTTTTAACATCTACTTGAGATTTTTTTATTAAAAAGTTGAATAATTTTAACACATTCAATATTATTGATAAAAAAAGCTGAATTTTATATTTTTTCAAGACTTATGAGCAACAAAACAAATTCACGGATTTGGACAACAAAGAAAGGCTTCAGAATGACGTCAAAATCCGCGAAATTTTTTCATTCTTCAATAATAGTCCGTTGTGCTTGTAATGTAAATGTAGGCAGAAAAAAAAAAGAAGAAGAAAAAAAGCAAATGTTGCTAAGATAGCGAGGGTCACAAAGCACTGCCTGTAGCCCCGAATCAGGGTGGCTAGGGGTAGTACACACCTGTCCCATCATCGATTTTCGTGCGCACTTAAAGCCCAGTATTCTGACTACTGATTTTAGCCGATAGTCTTTTCCCAGTTAGGGAACTGTCCCAATACAAACCTCAACTTTCACTTCACCTTTCTCTCTAATCCGATATCGATTGTACAAAAGCTTAGTAACTATTCATTTCAATAACTATTCATTCAAATATTCACAGAATCAGAATTGACACTTTGTTCAAAAAGATGAGAAAATGTAAAAAAGGAAAATTATGTTCAGCAGTGGTTGTATAGTTGTGTGCGCTGTAATATTAGTAGTGTTTGAGCCCAGATAAAAGCCAAAACTTTGAATGCTGATTTTCAAGGCAGGACGCATCTCCCCAGATGAAAACCTTCAAATATTCCTGCTTAGCTTTGAAATTCCCTCCCGCACGTGGCCCTGTGTTGGCCAAAGTAGCTTAGTCAAAATATCAAGAATAAAAAAATGAGTAGAAGACGTAGAAATATTGAATAAAAAGAGAAAGGAGGAGGAGAAGAAAGAGAAACAAGAGGATGATAGAGAGAGGGGGACCCGCGGAGAGTGTTAACCTACATTGAAACTGATTACTTCTTGTTTCTCCCAACCGGGCGGGCGAGTAGAAAGTCAACCGGCTGAGCATGGCTGAAGTGTAGTGACGTTGCTAGGGGTTCTTTATTCGCTTTGGTTTCGTTGTTTTCGTGTAAGTATTACCTGTTTTTAATGTTAACTATCGGGGTTTAAAATTATACTGACCCCTTCTGGACTATCCTGTAGTGTCAATAGTGACTTTAAAATATACAATTCGTTTATATTTTGCCTTCTAGTGTTTTTTGTATTTAGAGAAGTAGCACTTTTTTCCTAGCTATGTGCGTGTGTGAAAGAAAAAAAAAAGTAAAATATTTGTGTATTTTCTTTTTATTTTTATAACTTTTTACCTCGGGGTCGGATGCCTTGCCTTCTTTCCCCAACACAAACTCTCGACTCGTTTAGGCAAGTTTTAATTTCGAAGTAAATCGAAAAGGTTTCTTAAAAGTTTCTTGTTGATTTTTAAGAAATCCTTCAACGTACACACACCATCCGTCAGGAAGGTTTTCACTAGATTTTTGTATTGCCCGTCTTTTTAAATTTACACACACACACACAAGTGCGTGTTTTTTAGTGTTACGTGACACAATATGGCGAGAATATGCTATTGTATTTTATTTTTAATGATACTTTTTTTTTATTTTACCTCTTTGTTTAAAGAAAAGGAAAATTATATATAAAAAAAGATAATTTAAATTTATTAAACAAGTCCTAAAGATAACGCCACTTTTTTCATCTTGTACTTTTTAGTTTTTATTTATTTTAAATCCGAGGTCACAAAGTATCTCTAAAAGTTTTCTTTTCTTTATTCAAACTTATCAAAGTTTCTCTTAAATCCTAAAGTGAAATCTCATTCTTTAATTTAAGGTCTAATTTAATAAACTTGTTAAAAAGTCTTGTGAGGTTCGGTTAAAAATCAGTGAATTCTTTACGTAGTTCGAACAGTTTTTTTTTTTTTATTATATCTCTGCTGTAGAAGGAGTGCAAGAGGAATTTGTTATCTGCGCGCTGACAAGATTTCTTTTTTCTTTTTTTATTTATTTAGGATGTTGTTACTCTTATAGACATGAATTCCACTTTATTTTAATCATCTTCCGTTAGTCTTCTAATTTTTTTTTCTCTTCCTATGTTTGAAATATTCCACTCTGTTGAAAGTATGGTTTGTTTTTATTCTGACATATTTTCCCAACTATTTCGTTTTTATTTAGTTTTTCTTTTATTCAGTTTCCCACTTGTATATAAAATAAATTAAAATGATTTCACAAAGTTTGAATAACTTGATGAAGAAAACTTTTAAATGGATTACTGAACTTTTTTATGAAAGGTTATTTTCTTTCGTTTATTAGTTTTACTTTTATAGTTTTTTTTTTAATGAAGATATTAATTAAATTACTTTAAATACAAATTCATCTTTATTTGTAAAGTGGACTTTGATATAGGAATATAAAAAGATAGTTTCAATATGTTTTTTAAAACCACAGGGTGAGGTAATTAAAAATGCTTTCTGATTGCATTTTAGTTTTAGTTTTTTTATTATTTTTATTTTTTTTTTTAAACTGTTAAAAACAAAAAGTGTTTTTTTCTTCTTCTTTTTAGGCCTATATAAAAAATCGTTTTAGCGAAAAAAAAATTCATTTTATTTTAAAATTCAAGTTACATATAGAAATGAAAAAGTAAAAATCTGTATAGTACATGAAGACGTCTTTTTTTCTTTTTTTTGTGATCTAAACAGACTCCTGTCCTGCATAACTTTTTAACTGGTAGAGAAGGTGATTTATTTTTAGATACAAAACCACTCACTAAAGAGATAATGTGATTTTATTTTTAATTTTATCTTTTCTATCCAAAGTATTTCCTCTTAATTAAGGAAGACAGTTTCTCTTATAAATCCGATGATTTATTTTAATTTTTTGTTTAAAGAAGTTTTAACATCAAGTCTTAGAAAAGAAAAGAAAAATAAACTATTGACAAATGTGGAACTCGTTGAAAAAGAAAATTATTAATAATTATTATATTTGTGTTCCATACAAACAAAAACAAAACTGTTTATTTCGCTAATCGTCTTTATGTTTAACAGTCGGCGAAAGAAACTTGTTACGGGGAAATAGATTTGTTTATTATATTCTCTATCTCCCCAAATCTCTTTTAACTTGATCACCTGGCGAAAAAGAAAAATGTCCCCCCCATCACGTCGGAATTGGATACTTATTTCTTTTCTTTTTATTTTTATTGACCAAGAAATTTAGGGTAATCCAAAATCTATGGAAGTCCCAATGTGTACATATTGCTGTTTTTCTCTGTCTTTCTTTCTTCGTTTATTTTTTTTTTTTTTTTTAAATATTTACTAAACTTAGGTTAAAAAAGTAAAACCTAGATTCAAACTGGGAAATTCAGTGACGATCGAACCCATCTGCACCAGGAGGCATATTTACATGGCTTTATATTTTTTTAAATTGTTTTACTACGCTTTTTTTTTTTTTTTTTTTTAAAGTAGTTGTGTATGATCACTTTTCAGTTTTCATTGAAGAAATCTTTTTTTTTTAATTCTTTTTTCTGAATGAGTATTTTGGTAAAAATGCTATCTGCCTTGATTTTTGCTAATAATTATTGGACATTGTATTTTTTCTTTTTTTTTTATGTGAAGCGAAAAAAAAAAAAAAGCAGGTGTTGATGAATTATTGTGTTGCGTTTGAAACCTATGAGCAGGCATTGGGAACAATTTGTCCACAGCCCTTTTACAGTGGACCACAAATACATACACTGTTCTTTTTTGTGTAGATTTAAGAAGAAACAAATTTTTTTTTTTTTTTTTTTTTTTTTTTACGTGCCCAGAATTCGTTATGTGTTTTAAGTTTTAGTGTTTACATTTTAAATAATCCAAATAATAAAAAACGTTGAAAATCTCTCTTAACATTGCCAAATATACTAAGGAAAAAAAAGTCCTTTTGCAAAATAAGATACAGGCGCGCGCATGCGCACACTAAATACAAGAGCCACTCAAGGTAGAGTTATTGAAAGTTTTTTGGGTTTTTTTATATACAGAAGTAAGTGGAAGAAGTGCAAAAGAAGAGGATATGTAGGATAGATAATGTTTGAGACTTGAAGTTAAAATCGGGGAAACATCCACTCGGGGGTTTATTTCCACAACGTAACTTTTTGTTTTTAAACTTGCGGCTTCAGATTGTTTCGCCATCTTCGAAATTATGTGAAGAATTTTGCTTGCTTTGAAGGTCATTCTAAAAAGTTCTGGTTCCAGAACAATGTATTATAGCCCATCATCCAGCAAGAAGCTCATATCGAAAATAAATCAAACGGAAAAAAATTTTTTTTTTTTTTTTTTTTTTTACTTTTTATTACTCATCTTATTCGAATAGCAATAATAATTTTTTAAAAATAATTCAAATTCGATCCGTACAAGGTACTTGATAAAAACTTAATTTTTAATGTAAAAATAATAAATTTCAACTTCATTATTAAAACAACAACAAACAAACCCTTTTCTTTTACAAAACTGAAGTTTTTTTTGTTTTTATTATTATTGAGGGTCTCTCATGTAACAACAGTAACACAGAAGAAAAATAAAAAATTTTAAATGAATTCTATAGTGTCCTCGAACCCTCTTCTTGGGACTCGGAATTATTTTCCAATGTCTATGATTGAATTCTTGTGTTACGACGATTATGTATATTGTATAGTTTTCAAAACAATGGATAAGATAAAAATAAAATTATTTAAAATAATTCAGTAATTTAAGGTTGAATTTTGACTTCGTGAAATTATTAATTAATTATTATTATTTTTCTATGAGGCGGTGCTGAAAAGTTATCAACCTGACTTTCCTAAACAATCTCTGATACTGATTTTGAAAAGTGGGTTGGGCCAAGGACTTTTCAACAACTCCACTAACCTATTATAAGTATTATTTTCATTGTAAAAATCTTGAAGCAACATATAATGGAAACCACATCACTTGAGGACTACCAAGAGCAGCAACAACTTAAATGGATAGCCCATGTAAATCGGAAAATAATGACATAATCAAGATGTTAACATTCCACACCACTTCAAACAGAAGTTTAAGAACCCCCCCCCTTCCAATACTAGAAAGGGTGATAACAGCTACTGGACTTGAGAAACCGGTTCTTCTAAAGTGTTTTAAGAGAAAGACTTTATAAATTTCAACCAAAAGCATTTCTGACTGCCCAGTCAATAAATGTCAAATGTTTCGTTGTAGGAAAATGACTAATATTGCCATTACTAACACACACACACACTATATATATATATATATATATAATGACTGGTATTTCATAAAAATAGCTGCATTTTATTTCCTAAGAATTCTATAAATAATAATACTGATAGTTAATGACAGGTATTTAGGTCTGTTATTTGCCTTCTGTAGACTGATGCTTAGCACGTCAATGTTAAAGGCTGTTGCTTGTGTTGGGAGTTTGATAATATTTATTGCCATGAAAATTACAGCAATTTGGCACAAGGCCACACTGTTTCTGCATTTAAATATATAAGCAAAAATGTATGAGATATATATATATATATATATATATATATACGCACACACAACTCCTATGTTTGTGAAATCTGAATGAATAAATCTGCCAATGTGGTGTCAAATTGATATTAAAGGTTGTTTTTGTTTTTATTGTACACTAAGTTTTAGAAAAAAAAAAAAAGTAGAAATTACAAATAGCATCAAAGATGGTGATTCATTGGGGTTTCTGTTTATAGAACTTGTCACTAATTACCTTATTAATGCATCCATTAATGATTCTGTTGCATGAAAAAAAAATCTTAAGAGGGTTAGAAATACTTGTCCCTTCTATTAATCTTTTTATTATTTTGTATTTCCTTCCACTAAGAAAATTGTATGATGGTCAATACAAAATATTGGATGATTAAATATCGTTTTCTATGGCTTATCAACCCTTTGCAGGTTATTTAAAGCCAGAAAATACTTTTAGATTGTGAAAATCTTTTTGGAATCAAGTTTGGAGTAAAACAAGAGATTGACCTGAGTGGAGGACAATCATCGCCCAATGCTTCCAACAGAGTGGCAGGAACTGAGAATAAAAGACTTGGACAAAGTAATGGTAC